TTTGCAGTTTTTTTAGGAATTCGTTTGTTATTATTGTTGTACTTAAACATAACAAAATTTCTTTTTGTTTTAGTTTTCTTTTTTTGTTTTTCTTAATGTTTATTTTTCCTGAATTAGAGTTTTCCACTATTTGGCCCAAAATAAATAAATTTTGAACACAATGCTGCAAATTCAAAATAGCAAAAGTTTTTATACAATTGTTGAAAATATGTTGCGTATGTATCACATTATTGTTTCGCAGTATTGTGTTTATGAAAAGGCCTATTAATTCAAGCTAGACGATTGGCTTTCTTGCACAAAAATTAAATGTTTCATATTCTTATTGCTGTATAAATAAGTCAGAAATCGTATTTTATAAGTTGCGTCACGGTTACAGAAAATGAGGGGGCAATAATTTAAACATTAAGAAGTTAAGGCAATTGAAAATTTTATTATTTTTTATTGTTCGCACTATAATTAAATTCAAAACAAGGAACAATTAACATCATTGGCTGTATTAAATGTTTTTCAATATTATAATAGTACTTAAATACTTATTTATTTTTCAAATACATATAAACAATTTTTCACTTACATCTGAAAATACAAAATTATCGAGTGTGTATGTAGCAGATGCAACGAAGTGAGTTGTTCTATATTTATAAAGCATGTACTTGGTTTGCAAATCCAAAATCCATGAATAGTGCGTTAAAGATCAAAGTTTAATCATGTTATATAATATCTAAGGTATTTTAAATAATTTCTATTTATACTAGGTATTATCTAACACTAACTTTTATTTACATTTTTGTACGCAGGTAAAGAATACACGTGTTTTATTTGACATTGCCATTTGAATTCAACTTTCTCTTTTATAAATATTTATGTAAAATATTTCATTTGAGAAGAAAAATACAAAAAGCCTAAAGCAATTAAAACTTGATGATGTTTTTTCGATTTTATAATTTATATATGTATAAATTTATAGCAACTAATATTTTATTCAACACTTAATTACAAAGAAAAAAAAATATCTTTTTTTTACAACTTTTGTACAGATTTTGTACTCCATATATGTCATATTTTTCAAGGAACAATTCAAAAAATCCTGTTTTTTATCGAACATGCTTTATATATTAAGATCTAAGTTTGAAAAGAATTTTCGAAAATTCACGAATTTTAAATTTGATTTTCGTAGCCAAAAAACTGTACTACTAAACACAGTACTCGTATATCGCGCCATATAACAAACACTGAGCTATATTTGTGTTCAAAAACAAATGTTGCTAATATAAACATATTGTTCTAAAATGTTGCTTATAAATATGACTAATTTTTCGCAGTGTATATTGCAAAATTAGTATCCCACCACTTAAATCACAATATGAACTTAATAGATATAGGCCCTTTTTAAAAATATCACATGATGATCATGTGATATCTGCCATCATTTTAAAAACTCTACCCTGCAAGTTAAACAAACGCCATAATTTTAATTTTGCAATTGATATTGGCCATATTAAAAAGGGCCATATTTAAAAATATATTGCATATTCATTATGTTAAGCGGTCTGAGATCGATATGGTATTATTAAAATTCCGACATCAAAGACAGTATTGCTTTGCAGTATTGCGTTTATGAAAAATTCCTACACTTTCAAAAAAAAATAAATTCACCGTACATATAACAATTAATACGGTAAACTAAATGTGAATTACTTCAATGTGAAATTCAAGAAATCACAGTTTGCAGTTGTTTTTTTTTTTTTAATAAACTGCATTTTCAAATTGACCGTACTTTGGCAGTACGTGCAGAACGTTTTTTTTTGCAATTCTTGACTACAAAACGCAATGCAAATTTAATACTGTGTTAGAATTGAATCACCAAAATTGTATACCCAATACAAAATTAAAGAATAAATTAAAATCAAATTACAAAAAATGGAAAAAAAATTATAAATGAATGAGAATTTAAAAAAAAAATTACCTTAAAGAAATTAATAAAAAAAAACCTGAAATAATAGAAATAAAAATTTCAACTTAAGATGAACTAAAAAAAGAAATAATAAAAACACAAAATTATAAGTTTTTTAAAAAAATTTTTATTTATTCATTTTTAGTTTTTTTTTCTAATTTTTACGTTTTTTTCTAAATTACGTTTTTTTGTTTTTTTGAATATAAATTTTAATGTAAAAAGTGTCTATTTTATTTTTAATTTTTCTTTTATTTTTTCAAAACATAATTATTTTCAAAATAGTTCTAAAAAGGATAATTTTTTATATGGAGATGTTCGAAAAGCTCGCACTTAAAATGTTTCTTTTATTGTTCCAGTAAACGAAAAATTTTTTTTCATCTTGAATTTTTTCTTAACAGCAAAATTATTCATATAAAAGCTATAAAAGAACAGAAGAGAGATTTTTTTATGAAGAAATGGAATATTTCAATAAAAAATATTTTATGTGTAAGACAAAAATAAATTTGAATAGAATTTTAAATAACTAGGAAAATTGAATACCTATTTGAAGGTATATTTGACAAATACAGAAATAAAAAATAAATTTAATAAATTCATGAAATTATCATTTTTCTCTAACGTTTACTTTGCGCTACCCTGTACTAAATTATTGCTATTCCTTGCTATCACATAGCCCAATCTATTAAAAATTTTACCAAGATTATTTTAAGAGTGATCATAAAAGATAATCTGACATTGAAAATACATAGGTAAAAACCACTATGTTTACTTTGAACAATAATTTATTTCTAATTTTAAATATAAAATTAAGAAAATGACTCGGTAGTTTTCATAGAATTGTATGTAGCTTCATTTCAACTGGTTTTATTAATTACATGTAATAACTGTATGAATCTAATTTGATCTACTACTATAGAGCTAATCCAGTAATATGTTTAAATGTTTTTTTATTTACTTACACTACATTTGTAAAACAATTTTATATGAACATTTAATATGAACACAGTATATACTTTTTTGGGATTTCTAAACTGTAATACTTAAATGCAAGTTTAAAAATATAACAGTAATATGATAGTTATCAGAAATCTATTATTAAACTCATTACATTAGTTAGGATTAGGTCAGAAATCTATTATTAAACTGAATTCAATAATTTATTGCTATATGAATCATACTTTAATTTTGAGATCAAAGAAATTAGAATAAGTATTCTCATTTTAAAATTACATACTTATTCATCAATATAGATAGCATAGCAATAAGTACTATCTTTACTATCCATTCAATAATTGAAAATTAAATTTTAATTCAGCATCACTTCAATATTTTGCTAAAACTAGATGCTAATAAACTTGTTATCAAACTAAATTTAAAGTTTTTATAGCAAAAAAAATAAAAATATTAAAAAAATAAATAAATAATATTTTTAATTTGGTGATGTCATCTTTTCTTATGGTTGATATCTGATATTATAATTTCTATTATTTTCATTTGGGACAGCGGTTAGCTGTTTATGATTACTAAATGTATTATAAAAAAAAATCTGCAGATCATCTACATTTTATGAATAAAATTTGAATATATGTGTGTTATAGATCATTCAACAAATGTATAGCTTATTCCATTGTTGTTAAAAATTATATACAAATCGTAATCCCTACAAGAAAAAATATGTATTAACTCAAAAAGAATTAATTTCGTGAGTATTAACACTGTTCTCAACAAAACTAAGTAATATAACAAAATGTGTAAGATAAAATGAGAAATATTCAAACATATTACAATATGCTTCATACAATTTATTATATGAATAAAAATATACCCTTATTATGATCGGCGAAGCGAATGGCTAGGCGAGTGACGAATACGCTAGGCGAATCGAATGAACATTTCAAATTATGATAGGCAAATGCTTTCATAATACCAAAAATTTAATTTGCTTCGCCGATCATAATAAGGGCTATATATTTAAAATTCTCATTCAGTTTTATTGACCTAAGAATCTAAAAATTTGTATTTTTCGAATTAGTACAATTTCGTTATAAAGATGTGAAATACTTAAATTTTTTGGAGAATAGAAAAAAAAATTTTAAAGAAAAATTAAGGAACGTTTATTTTCAATTCCGTTCAACTTTTTCTATGTTTTTATTTCTTTTAATTTTCTGTTTTCTGTTTATTACTAATTTAAATAGGAAAAAATTTAAAGGAATAAAAAATTCAAAAAATTAGAAAAAAAAGTATAATAATTCGAAAATAATGAAAACAGAAGAAACTATTTACTAAACGCTTCAATGGAAAATATAGAAAAATGCTTTAAATGGGAAAAATAAAAGATAAAATATGATTTTTCTTTGATGAAAATCATAAACTTTTGAAGTTCATTTCTAATTTTGTTACGAAAAAATTTGTAAACAACGGACCTTCTTCCTTGTTTTTTTTTCACGGCATTCCTATAGTTCTGTAGCCACAATAAACAGTTGTTTATTGTGGCTCATAAAATAAAATTTATTATTTCATCATCATTAAGGTAATTTTGTTATTTATCTTTTTAGTACACAATTGATGTATGCTTATAATGAAAATAACATTGAAAGTAGTTTTGCATTGCATACTACTGTGCATAGCACTTATATTAAAACCTAAATTAAAACTGAATTAATTACAGTCCACAGCATACTAGCATAGCATGAAAAACTATTAAAACTGAATGTAAATGAATTCCATGAAATCAATCTAATATTCAATACAAAGGACATATTTTGAAATTCTAATAGAAGGGACAATATGTTAAACCGAAACAGATTTTTGAGCACAAAAATGTTAAACAGATTTACTCAGAGAATTGTGAAAAAAAAAATAAAACCTTATGGTTTTTGTTTCTCTTTTTTTTTTTATTCTTTCTTTTCTATAAATTTCTCATTTTGTATAAATTTTATACGTTTATTTTTTTTGTATTTAAATTTTTTTTTAATTAAAATTGTTTTCTTATTTTATTATTTGTAATAGGAAAAAGATGAATAAGTGTTAAAAAAAAAACACGATGTTTGATTTGATTTTTTTTTTCTTTTTTTTTTTAATTAATTACTTTAATAATGCGTAAGTTTATAATTATTCAATATTATGTTTTTATGCTTTAATCATTTTACATAGTTTTACAGCCTAAAGCGTAGTATTACAATGGTTTTTTGTTTTTTTTTTTATGTTTTATATTTTTTATGTCGTTTTTTAATTATTTTTTATTTAAATTTTGTATAATTTTTTTTTTAAAAAGTTTCTTTTTTTTTTCCTTTGCTTTTTTAATTTTTACACTTTTTATAAATTTAAAAAAAAAAAAAATTGTTTAGATGATGTTGCGCCGCTTACCTCTAGTATCCACAGCCGATTAAATAGTCTCCAAGTTTTTCAACAACTGAGGCTGCCTGCTGAGGTTGAACAGGGTCTTCATAGATTGAAACTATAACGGCTGAAAATATAAAATAAGAACAAAAATTAATATTATATAATATAAATATGCATATACTATTGGTAGAGTATTTATTTTACAATAATATAAAAATAAATCAAATTTTAAAATATTTTAAGTAATTATATAAAATGCATATAAGTATGTATAAACTGATTTGATTAACAACCCTTTAATAACATTTATTGTCTTTTCTTTAATAACAATAATTGCTTTCAGGTCCCGACTCCCCTTTTTATTCTCAAATGAACTTTATCTTAATAACGTCTCTCTCAATAACGTATTCTTACTTAGAAATTTCAATTAAATTCTCTTGCAATATTAAATATATTCCTGACTTAAAAATTGTAAATATTAATACAGTATTAATACAAAATTTAGTTAAAATTAACATAAAATGTACTACATATTTATACGTTCAAATTAATGTATACTTTCTTTCCATTAAAAAAAAAATTATTTTTGTTTTTGTTTTTTAGAATTTGAAAATTAACACAAAACTTTTCTCTCTACATGGCTGTCTGTGTATAACAAATATTATAAGTATATAATTGTACATTTCTTAATACTAAAAATTCCTCTAATACATGTAACAATTTTTTATTGTGACACAGTACCAGTTTCAAAAAGAAAGCCATATAGTTCAATGTTAGTTCAACAACCAATACTTTTCTTTAACACTATTCCTACCGGGACCGGTCAAATGACCATTTTTAGATATCAATTGGAATTTCCTACATTCAATGTAAGCGAATTCAACGCATCGTACAACGCCGATGGTACGATTCATATATTTTTGTAATAGTTTTTCTCTAAGACTCAATGCCAAAACTCTAAATTCGTTACAAACGAAACAGGAGATAGGCAAAGAAAATCAACCAATACCCATCGCAATTTCAAGTACAGGTTCCCGTTAACGGAAAACATGTCAGATAAGATATTATAAAGATAATAAGACGAATAAAATCTGTACAAAATGTAAAAAGTACTTACGCGCAAAATGTACAGTTGAGAAGCCCATTTGTAAAAAATGCGACAATGAAGAATAAAATGTAGTTTATTTACTTTTGAATAAAAGAAAATATATTAATGTAAAATAATATGCTGGCTATTCGTCTGCATTCAGTATTGAAGTATATAGGTTTTGAAGACCGGTCATTTAACCAGCCGCTGTAGGAATAGGTATACTTGAAATGTCGGTAGGAATAGTGTTAAGTCTTACAAACAATCAAGAGGTCATAAAATGTTTTTTTCAAAATAGGTACTCACAGAGAAATTTAATAGTATGCTTAAAAGTCAATACAATTTTTAAGTACTTTAAAATATTTGTTTTTAAGTAGCTACCACATATGCATACGCGCACGTAATATTATAAAATGTAGCAAAAAGAGTTACTTTCCAACTTAAAATTATATAATTAACAAAATATTATTAAAATATTTAAAAATAGAATGACGTAATTTTCGTTTCAAAAATTAAAAAAAAAAAGAAAAACAGGAATTTCAGAGTTTAATCCACCCTTGACATAAAATCCTACGAAAGTTTGCTTTAATTTATTCAAAATAAAAATAAAAATTAATTTTTGTTCTTTCATTTTCTATTTGTATTAAAAATTGTCCTTCACATATCACCCATACACAAAAATTTCATACGAAAAATCCTACTCAACTTTGATTTTATCACTTGAAAAGGTAAAAAAAAAACTATGAAGCAATAAAATAATTTGCCTTGTTTATTTCCATTTTCAATAACTTTGTTATAATTTTTAATTTTTTTTTTTGTCACATTTCCTTTCATTATGATCAATGTTTTATTGAACAAAATATTTCCTATAATTTTATTTTTTTACGAATCTCACACCAGTTATGCGTATAACATTGCAATCAATTTTAAAGATTTAAAGCATTAATTTTGGAAAAAATGAGAAAAAATAGAGTTGATCTTGTCAACTCTGTGATACCCGTACGAATTTGTTATCCTATGTGCGAATAAATATGCCATAACTGACAATGGGACAGACTATGACTTTAAGAAGCCGTATTACTATAATAATTTATGCAAAATTTCAGCACTGTGCATTTTTCAAAATACTGTGTGTGCCAAACTACTATTGAATTTGTATGCCAGCTACCAGAAAGAGCCAAGAAATTTTAACGAATTTTATCAAACACATTAGCCCTACTAATATATTTGCTTGTGTGAAATCTCAATATCACAGCTTTTATAGTTTCTGAGATATAGCCAAATAACTTTTGAAGTTGTACGACAGCTACCAGAAGGAGCCAAGTAATTTCAACGACTTTTATCATACGCATTGGCCCTACTAATATATTCGTTTATGTGAAATTTCAATACCATAGCTTTTATAGTTTCTGAGATATAGCTAAATAAATTTTGAAGTTGTATGGCAGCTACCCGATTTTGAGCTATCGCTAGGACGGACGGACGGAAGGACGGACGGACAGACAAAGCTAAGGCAACTCAGAATTTGACGCTGATCAAAAACATACACTTGAGTCTATATCTAAGACCGTTATTTCTTAGTGTTACAAACGGTAAGGCAAGTTTAGTATACCCTACGAACATACGTTCGTACGGGTATAATAAAAGTAGTCTTTGACTCCGAAATCTTATCGTTATTTTATCTTGGCATTCTAGTTTTGAAAAAGTTCTTCTGCACATATACAATTACACATACGTTCAATCTATTCTTTTATTATTTTTTCATTGATCTGAGCAAATGAGAAAATCATTACAAACAAATAAAATATGACATAGGTTATATAATAATTATTATTTCTTGATCGAAACCCAATGAAGTACTTTTAAGATCCTTACTCCCCTCTTATCTTAACATTTATTTCAAAGCATAAATGTGTAAACATGTTATTGAATAAAATATTTAAAAATATTCCGCATGTCAATTTTTTTTTAACCGAAAAATCGTGTTTAGAGCTATTTTTTATGAAAGACTTTCATTGATGCTGTTTCGGACAGAATTGCACACCGACTATACATTTGAATTGTATTTTAAAAGCAATTATTTCATAATTAATCGTATGACTTCACACCATTTTCAAATTTTTTACGATGCACTTATTTTCAAGCAATCAAATTCAATTGCGTTTTAAATAAGTTTCGTAAACTCGAGCAGTAAAGCTAATTTTTCAAAATTTACTCCTAGTTCAATGCTTTATAATATTTGTAACAGTCACTAAACTTTATCAGCCTTAAAAAAAATTTACGAATTCAAAAAATTAACTTGTGCTATATCTAATTTGTACTGTATCATGTTTACTTAAAAGTAAAATTAATACAAATAAAAATTCAACAATCAAAATGAAAATTACAAAACGAACAAAAGAAAAGAAAAATTAATAATAAAAAAAATTGTTACAATATTACATCGCATCTCTAAGAATAGCAATAACAAAAAGAAAAATGAAGAAGAAAAACAAAAAAATGCTGTATCCGTAGACAAATCTATTAAAGTAGCTCAACGCAATTCAATTTAGTTGAAAACTATGCCAAGCATAAAAAACTAAAAACATAAGAAAAAAAAAGTCAAACAAAATGATCTTTTTTCCACTTTCATCAACAATCACTCACACCGCTTATTAAAAAAAAAAAAAAAAAAGAGTTTACATAGAAGTTTTAATTTTCTTTCTTCTTCTTCTAAATTTTGTTAAAGATCGTTAACCCTTTCTTACCCACAATAGTGCGTTATGGCTGTCATAGTTTTTTAGCTTCCGCCGTTTTACGTGAAATTTAATTTTTATATAAGGGTTTTTCTTATACGAAGGGGTGCACATAACATGTTTTGTTTTAATCGTGCTTGATAATCTTAAATAAATTCTATTTTTATATATACATTTTATTTTTATTTCCGCATCTTAAATTAAATTGTTATAATTCAAATTTTGTAGTTTCATGTGCATACTACATTTTTCTTAGTTTACGACATTTACGTCCCCGCTTTACTATAATGTGAATATAATACGTATTATATATTATGTTCTATAAGTAATTGGACTGTTTTTGTTAATTTTCTGATTTTATTTTACGACTTTATGACCTAGTGATTTTATACATTTCTGTTAAACAGTTTTCATTTAATTAACAAAAATTTGACATGTCAAATCTTCGGAACTAGAGAAAATCAACATGAAATAATATTTTCTCAATGTTATTTAAAAATATTATTTTACAGATGTAAGGACATTGAGTTGAAATTCACACTTTCACTTCAAACCCTTGACAAAATTATGAACATTTGTACTAAAATGCAGGTGGTTTGTATGAGATTTTTAAACACGTTGGTTTAATTTAAAACTACGGACTTAATATATTCGTACATACCGGTCAAATATATGTAGTTTTCGGGATATTATCTTCCAATTTCAATAATGTTAATAAAAAAAATAAGATAAAATTCATAATTCGGGAATTAGTGGGTTAAATAGAAAAAAAAAATCTAATTCTTACGTAACAAATTATTTCCAGTTCAAATTGTACTATGAATCAGATGATAGTTATGAGTTATGACAATTAATCAAAGATTTTTTTTTCGATTTAATTTTTTTTTTAAAAGGTGACTGAATTTTAATGATTCTTCCATATTTATCATTAAATTCCAAATCATCCGTTTAATTACAAAAATCAAGAGTGTTAAAATTTTGTTAATTTTTTTTTGATTCGGTCTCGATCTATCATCTTAATTACCATTATTATCCACATTATTGTGAGAAAAGAAAATTAGAAACTATTTGACCTAGTTTTCTTAGAAAAAAAAATTGGTAACTTTAATTCTTATTTAATTCCTTTACTGATTATCTGTGAAATTTTGAAAGAGTCCAGTTAAAAATTTTAAAATTTAAAAGAGTCATAAAGAAAAAGTTTCTAGATCTTCAAATTCTGGACGTAATTTTTTTTTTGGATCACAAAATATTTATTGTTTAAATATTTCTTCAAAATGCTAAGATGCTTCTTAGTTAAGTGTTACAAGAAAACAATGAATACTTTTATGAATTATTTAACATTTTTTGTAAATTGCAATTGCAAAGTCAAAATCTGATTGGAATCAGTCCGAAAAATTTATTCAAAAAATTGCTCTGAATAATATCTGTCGCAACTTGAAAAAAAAAAACCGCCGTAACGCAACTTGGAAAACACGTATGCAAATATTAAAACCCAAAAACAAAAATTTTTAACAACTACACAAACTAATATAAAAGACAAAATCATATTTACCTTGATGTGTTTTCATACAATGCACACCACTTTTTCCCAATTTGGCACGAACTACCCGATCAGTTCCTGATAAATAAATGTACCTTTGGCCAGCTAATGTGACACCACTACTAGGTAATAAATCTTGATTTTCGAATCCTTGCACCAACCTAGCAATTTCATCCTTTGTAACCTGTACAAAAAAAAACAAAATTGTTAAAAAAATTTTGTAATAAAAAATATTAAATTAAAAATAAAAATTAATAAAATAGAAATTTATTGTTCTTTATACAACCATTAAATTTGACAAAAATTTTTATCATATCAAAGCAATATAGATATAAGATGAAAGATCCACTCATTAAGTTTTTAATGCATTTAAAACAACATTTTTTTCACAGCCCTTTTCTCCTTAATAGTCCTAGATACAAAATACATAGTTTCTATGTAAATTATACACAAAAAAATAAATTAAATAGAGTATGGCGACAATTTTTCGTATTAAAATTAAACAAAAAAAAATAAATTCGCCTTCATCGTCACATACCAAAAATAATTTATGTTTAAAATAAACACCTTTTTTAATTTATTTGGCACTCATCCATTGTATTATTTGAAAAAGTAGTGAATTTAAATAAAAAAAAAAATCATTAACAGAAAAAAATCGAAATGCGAATATGCTGTTACTAATTTAAAAAAAGAAAATAAAAAAAACAAAAATGTATGTAGGAAAAAATACCTACGTAAAAGTTCAAAAGAAACTGAGCATTTTGTTTTTTTCACTCGTCGCAGATATTTTTTCTTTTTGTTTTCTTTTTTTTTTTGTTTTTAAACATAACGATTTAATACAGTGGTCGATAACTTGTGGGATTTTGTGTCTTTTTGCGCGACCCGCCTCCAACGTCAACAATCAACAGGAAAAATCAACAAAAGCTTAGATCGTAAGTGTGCCGAAATATAATCGATGACAAAAATTCGTGATATAATAAATAGAAAAATATTTTACTGCAGAAATTTAGTCTCCACTTCTAAGTGAATACGACAGTTCATAAAGTAAGTGTAGCATTATTTAATTTAGCCAATTTACTACTGCAATATTTATTTCCCGAAAACACAACTGGACTTAAATAAATTATCGAACGCAGTTTTCAAGATCAAAACGGGCACTGAATTTTAATGAAATAATTAAATGAAATATAAACATATTTTATATATTATTATAAAGCTGTTCAATAAAAGTTTAATTTAAGAGTCATTTGAATGGCGGCCCGCATAAAAAATTTTATTTTTATAATGGACCACCGTCCGAAAAAAATTATCGACTCCTGATTTAGTCAGTATGAATTTTACGTTTTTTACTTATGTGTGATATTTATTTTTAACTGAATGCGAAATGAAACAGAATACATACTTAATTTCTATTACTAGATTTTTAACTTTACAAATAATAACTTATAAAATTATATTTTTTAATTTATTAACTCTTAAAAGCATCAAAATTCAGTGGCAATAAGAAAAAACACTATAAGTTGACTTAGCACAAAATCGAATATTTGATAATTAAATCTTTCTAATCCAAAAGTTTTTTTGGATTCTAAAGATTTTATTTTACTCGGAACATTCTAATAATGATGATAATAAAATGGAGAAATTCAACATTCCAAAAATTTAATTGAAAATTTTTTAGAAGAACGTTCTTTCTATTTTTAAGAAAATATATCTTTTTTTCAAAAACCAATGAAAAATACTTATAAAGCCAATAAAATATGCTTACAGGCCTTCAAGTATATTGCGTAATTTTGAATCTATTAGCTTGTTTTGACTTAAATTGTTCTTCCTTATTGCCCAAATGAACACACATTTTCTTTAAGACTGAAAAATGTCTTAGTCTTATATTTATTTTTTCGCATTTTAGAATTTTTTAGCATAAAAATATACTATCATAAGCTACTAAAGTTTATTTTACATTAAACTAAATGAAAAAATGCTCATAATTAATTTTTATGCATCGCATAACGAAAAAATTTAAATCCATAATGAAAAGGTCTATAATTTTTATAAAACAAATAAAAGAACTGAAGTAAGTCAAATTTTGTATATTCACGCAAACTAAGTTTGAGGGCTTAATTAATCGATTAACTAATTATAATCCGGGTAATTATAATTGTATTGTAATTTTCGAGTCACAAAAATTTTCTTATTGCGCGTATACTTTCATTCATTCTCTTTTCCTTTGAAGGTGACATATTCAACCGATAATTTTAGAAAAAACCCAAGATTTATTTGAAAAAATTAGTAAATACTCTTACTGGTAAAGTTACATATCAATTAGGAAAACTGAGAATTCTGATTTGAAAGTGAATAAAAAATAAAATCAAATGCGAAATACAAATTTAGTCTGTTAATAATGCCAATTAAAAAATTATTTTAAGAAAAATTTTATGCCATTTTTCTCAATTTATCAAGTCATATACTTAAAAGTATAAAATCTTATATTATAACCAAAATTTTAATAAAACTTCCAAGAAATGTAAAAAATAAATGACGTATTTTAAATTGGTTTTATGTTTTTCTGTCTTTAAATAAATAATAAAAATTAATTAGGAAATTAATTAATAAATATATAAATTTAGAAGAGCATATGTACTCTGTCAATATGAAATAAACGAAATTTTTCAGCAGCTATGTAAGTATATTTCAAATTTTGCTTCTAAAATTACACAAATTTTGCTATATACACACATAATTATTAAATTCAATTTTTCTATACACACACACATATATACATATATAAGTTATGTTTATTAATTTATTTTTTTTTTTTTTTTTCAAATCATTTGATTTTTTAAATTTGTTTTTTCCAAACAAAATTTTTTGTGTAGGTTCGAAATCTCAATATACAAATCGAAATGAATAATATTTGTAGGTCGAAATTTCTATAATTATAAAATAAATGAGAACAGTCAAGGCACTTATGAGAATGCAAGAAAGTGAAAAAGAAAATAAAAATTGTTTTTCTTTTTTCAAATGAAACAAAAATAAAAATAAAATTAAAAATATTTAAATTATAATTAGAACAGATAACGTTAGAAAATAAAAGCAAAAAAAATGAGAAGGAAAAATGAACACTTTTAAAATTTCATCCCACATGACTCGTTTATTTTTTCAACAAAAAAAAAAGTTTAAAATGAAATGAATAGAAAATTTTCGAAGTACACTATTTTTCAAATTAAATTTATAATTAATTTTCTTTTTTTGTTATGTTTCTTTTAAATGCATACGCACTTTAAAAAATAATTTTAATTAATTATATCTGATAAAATTACTCAAGGACTTTATTTTGTAAAACAAAATCTATTTTTTTTTTCATTTACAAAATTTTAAACACTTCTAATATTTTAAAAGAAGATCTCAGATTCTAGACCTAAACATCATGTTCAGTTATACCAAGCCATATATTTTTTTTAATTCAAAATTTTTTTGATTGATCAATTCAATATGACTTGATTTAGAACAGAGTATATGCATTTTTAAAAAGGGTCTTTGAACTCTTACTCAAATTTTAAAAAGGGTCTTTGAACTCTTACTCATTTGGAATAGATAACATGACATTGATTAACAACATTATCAATTTTCACAAAAATTTCTTCACAAAATAATTTTTGTCTTTACTTTCATTCAAAACAGCTTTGCAAAAAAAAAAATAAAATGTTTCTCGATTTTTCTAACATAACTTTCATCTACTTATCACTTTTTTACTTATCACTTTAACTAAAATTTAATTTCTTTTTTGGATGTGTGGGTGTGTTTAATGTTTATATTATTTTTATATTAATTATATCTGTTTTATGTTGCTATTAAATTTCTAGTTTTAAAATTTAATTTAGTTTTAAAATAAAATGTTATTTTGAGAACTAAATTAAATCAGAATAGAACATATTTTTACTATTAAACTAAATTCATTAAATGTTAACACTGTCATATTATTAAACCACAATTGAAAGACAGAAGATGACACGTACAACAATCAAATCAACTCAAAATTTGACACTAAACATGAAGAATAAAGAAACCAATAAATTTTAAATAACGAAATTACGCTTGTACTAGTTTAAAATGAATATGTGGATTTACATTTCCCTCAACTCTCTTTTCGCGCTAACTAAAATTGCTAAATTTATTAGAATACAAACATTTTTTTTTTGCCAAATTGCAAATTAATTTTTATTTTATATTTTTACATACATTAGTCCAAGGTTCAACATTCATATTAAAAGTGCAAATTACTCTTTTAACTTGTTCCTCTTCAACTATAAATATTAAAGTGTGACATCACGAAAAACAAATCAAACTAACGAAAAAACAAAATTTTCTTGTTTTGCTAAAATTTGAAATTCAATTAGAATTTATTAAAATAAAATAAAAGTGAAATTTTTTTAAGCTCTTTTCATTTTTTGATTTTCAAATTTTTAAATAATATTTATGATTCCAACGTACTTTTGAAAGCAAACAATGAAGTTTTTTTTACAAATCAAATAACTACTAACGCATTTTCATTATAAAAATAATATGAACAATTAGGGTAAAGGCACCAGTGTCCGAACAGTTTAAGTGTCCGAACAATGATTTTAAATGTGCTTCAACAGAAAAGTTTCTAAGAAACAAGAACTCCAAAATAAACACTTATATAATATAAGTGTTTATTATTATTAGTATTATTATAATTATACTAATAATAAATCGTTTATATATTTTTTTAAAATTTATGAAATTTCAAGTAAATCAATGGCGATTTTCAGCAATTCCATGCCCTGAAAGTTGTAAGGTAAATTTTAAAATCGAATCTGCAAAAACTGAATATTTTATTTTGAAAATTTGTAACATACTGGAGTGATTTTTCAATATCCAAGATTTTTAATTATAAGAAAGCACAACTGTTATCTCCGAACAGGTGTTTTTTGCAGTTTGATATTAGGGCCTAAGCTAGAACTGAATTATCGAAAATCGCCAATCTTATAATACTATCAGATATAAGTAGGTATATGAAAGTTGTGTATCTCAAATTTTTTTTTTTTAATTTTAAAAATGACAATTTATTTTAATAATTGAAAAAATTAATGTTAAGATTGCAAAATTTGACAATGTTCGAATATTAATCCCTTTACCTTATGAGAAATTATTAAAAGAGAAATA